CAGCTACTGGATGAAGGTTCTAGGATGGCATATAAGGTAGTCATCAACTGTCAATCTCATTATCGGGAAAGGACATTTAAGGTAACCCCTACACTATTGCTTAGATTGAAAAATCATTCTCCACTTTGTGTTTGAAGACACGTGTTAACAAACTTCTCTGGAAGTTTAGAGAAAAGCACAGGGTCTGGGCTCATGGAAGGGGCTGCTTCTGGTGGCACACCAGCCAGGATGGGGGCCCTTGCAGGTACTCTGGGTACTGGAGCCTCTAAACTCTGTGGTTGCCTGAGACACTAAGTAATAGCTTCAAAGCCCCAGTTCTCATCTCATGGTTTTGATGTCCCTGAGTAGTTGGCCTTCTTTTCTTCAGCTTACTCCATTAATGCTCTACAGGAAACTCCTCTCTCTCTCTCTCTCTCTCTCTCTCTCTCTCTCTCTCTCTCTCTCTCTGTGTGTGTGTGTGTTTGTGTTTGTGTTTGTTAGGGATTCAAACACAGGGCTTCCAGAGCTTTGTGCAAATGAACTATAGTCCAAGTCCTGTACTTTTGAGTTCTCGCCTGTAAAGTAAGAATAATAATGATTAAATTATAGAGCTGAGATGAGCCTTGTGTTTATGGCTGACATCCCATGTATATGGACCACAGTACATATATGTTAATTGTTATATATCAGGAATCATTATTATGTGTCTGTGTAGAAGTATGTGCACATAAGTGTAGGTGATCACAGAAGCCAGAGGTGCCAGATTCCCCCACAGCTGGAGTTACAGGCACATGTGAGTCATCATCCACAGGTTTTGGCAACTGAATTTGGGGTTTCTACAAGAGCACTATGTGCTCTCAACTGCTGAGCCATCTTTCCAGCCTAGTAGCTGGATTCTTTTCCCACTGCCAATGACAGCTGCACTGCTAATGTCTCCCCAGTGAGTGCTGGCAGTTTTCAGTATGCTGGAACACCTTCCTTCCTCTTTTTTCTTTTTTTCAGAAAACAAACAAACAAAAAATACCCCTGGTCTTCCTTATTAATGCATGCAAGCTGAATGGAATTGGAGTGTTGGGATTTTTGTTAGTTTACTTGTTTTGTTTCATAATCATCTTGAATTATTTTTTTTATTTTTATAATATAATTACATAATTTCTGTCTTCCCTTTCTTTACTCCAAACCCTTGTCTATATTTCTACTTGCTTTCTTTCAAATATGTGGTCTGCTTTTTTATTAATTGTTGTTCCATAATACATACATACATATATACATTTGTACACATTGAGATATTTACAGAAGAGAGAAAAACCTACACAGTTCAGACTATCCTTAGGAGGAAATTGAAAATGTCAAACTACTCTGATCACAAATTCCCTTCAGAATAGCTAATGTTAGGTCTATAGACTTTAAGGATATTTAAACACAACCTTATGGAGCTGGGCAAGGTTGGACTTGCCTGTAGTCCAAGCACTTGGGAGGCAGAGACAGTTTGTGGTCAGCCTGGTTTCCACAGTAAGTTTCAGGGCAGCACAAGACAAAACAAAGCAAAGCAAAGCAAAACAAAACAAAAACCTACATTAATAAAGTTTTCTCAATGCTGAGTTGGTTAGCACAGAGGACTTTATTATGTCTATTAGTTAACATGAAAATTCTAATTATGGAGATCTGTAATATTTAAAGTAAAAAGTGTTGATCCCAGTACTTGGGAGGCAGAGGCAGGTAGATCTCTGTGCGTTCGAGCCCAGCCTGGTCTACAAAGCAAGTTCCAGGACAACTAGGACTGTTAACACAGAGAAACCTTGTCTTGTAAAGCGCACACGTGTGCACACACTCACACACACTCACACACACACACACACACACACACACATATGATATGTGATGGATGGGAAGTAGATGTGGGCAAAGGACTCCTTTATCAGTAGTGATTTAGAAGAAACATGGAAATTGAATCAGCTGGGTTGTAGGTCACAAGGGAAAACGCATTTTGTTTCCAGTAAATTTTGATGAGGTTTGGCAGTATTCAGAGCTCCATAATTACTCCATTTAAAATTCAGCTAAAGGTTCTCAAGATAACATTTAGACTTATTGAAAGGTTAATTTTACACCTTCAGAATAATAGACTTCCCACTGTACTTAGCCAGGTGTTAAATGTGGAAACGATCCCATCATTTCCCATGTCTGTACGACAGAGAGACCAGCTTTACTGGTTGTCTCTTCTCATGGCCACATATCCATTGCAATACCTTTTGCTTAATAATGATGCTCTCACTCAAGCAATCGCAACAGAAACTTTCCCTTTTGGAACTGCCATATAAGAAATCTCTGCCATGAATGTGCTTCTTCAGTTGTTAAAGTCATAAGCTGTGTTCACAGCCTACTTAATAATTCATTACAAGAGAAGAATCTTGATTAAAGGAGGATTCCAGATAAGGAAATACCCTTTGAGGTTGACATTGATGGGATGGCACATGAAACACTGCCTTTTTTATCACTACTCAGTAGAAACATCCATGTACCTGTTGGTGAGCTGGATAATCACGCAACAGGGCTTTTGATTTAAATATAAAATGACCGAAGAGACATATCGTAACTGTAATTTATTGCCATAAGTATGCTATGTAATGAACTCCATAAAAGTTAGAGTAACACAGCAATAAACATTTTTTTTTTCCAGCTCACACATCCAAGAACCGAACTGTCTCTGGTCTTGCACAAACTTGTGAGAACAGCTGGTTTTCAGTGCTCTGCTGGGGTTTGGTTGGGATGACTGGAGTACTTTGGCCTCTCTTGTTCTTTCATCTTAGGCTAAACCGAGTATGTTCTCAGAGTGAAGAAAGAGGTATAGCCACAATTAGAGTCACTTTCATAGAACATTCTAAGAGTCAGGAGTGAGGGCAGGGTACGGGGTGGCATATGCCAAGAGAAAGGCAATCTAATCTCTCAAATGCTTCTTATACTGTTGCCTGCACCAGGTTCGTGAATATCTCATCCACCAAATCAAAGTCACAAGCCAGAGTAGTAGGGTTGCCTGCATGGCTAGTAATGTGAATGCAGGAAGGGCAAAGAATTTTGACATTATTATGAGTTTAACCAAGGTACTGTCATTATCATTCTTCTGAAAGATTGAATGTGAATACTATTAACTGGAAGAATTGTGACACTATTATAAATCTGGCTGTAGAATAAGTAGACACAGACCTGAGCCTGACTCTATCATGACTATTTCTATGGCTTTGAGAGAGTTAACATCAGAGGGCCTCAATTCCTTATCTGTAGAATGGAGATAGTAGTACTACAGCCATAAGGCTGTTGGGAAGATTCAATGAGAGAGAACTGTGCAAATAAATAATTCTTACTTGACTATTACCATTAGTGCTTCATTCATTTAATTCACCCGACCTTCACAACTCTGTATGGTACATATTGGTATTGCGCTTAGTTTGCAAAGAAAGAAAAAAAAAAACAAAACCATGGGGTCCTATACTGTTTTCCACCATTTATATTGGTAAGTTAGAGGCTGAGGTCTGTAAACTAGATATTCTGGTTTCAGAGTCTGGCTTCTGAACATTATTTGCCAGTAATGTCAGCATAATGCTAAGATGAAGCTAATTATTAGTCTTACAAAGTTATTTTAAATTGTTTCATTTGAGTGAAACCAGTGATCTAAAGTGGCTAAAGATTCTCTGTAAATTTATGCACCATCATGTGGAGTGTTAATCTTTAAACAGTTATTATTACCCAAAAGGGTTTAGGTTATCACTTGGGAAAATCCAGGTTATCATTTGAAAAATTGTAGACATGGTAAACCTTTACAGTAATGTATGCACACGAGAAAAATAAACATGGTTGTAAAACATTGACAGCCTTCTACAAAGTTGGACAAGTGGCTGCCATTGATGAGGACCACCCACCAAATTGTCTGACATACAAGATCACCAATGGAGACATCCAGGCTGTACAGAGATTCTGGATTCACCCTTTCTCTGGAGTGATTGAACTCACCAGTCAGCCAGATTATGAGTCGATGAGGCAATATAACCTCACAGTGCAAGCTGTGGATTGTGACAGAGCTCACCCACGGACTGCAGTGGCCACAGTAAGTAGAAAGATGTTGCTTTGTGTATATATGATTGAGAAACCTATTAAGTACTAATTTGTCACATTGGGATGTTCAGGTCATATGAGTGGTAGGAAATCGAGAAGCTTGTGAATTTCTCCTACTTCTCAAATGTTCTATAACTTTTGCATGACTTAGCTTTGGAAGTCTGGATGGGAAAGGAAGACCTGGCTAATTTCTCTCTCTGGTGTGAATGTGTTCTCAAAAGTGTAATAGGAATCTTTTTGAACAACAAAGATGCGAGGAGGTTGATATTTAACATGTGAATTAGGCAGTATTTTACTCACTTTCACCATCCAGATGAGGAACCTGAGGCATAGAGTTTAGGAAATGAACCCAGGGTTAATAGAAGACCCACAGGCTAGCATTAAATCCAGACTGCCTTCCACCTCAAGTCAATACTTACAATTCTATGTGCATCCTTTTAGCATTGACATGAAGGAATGTGTGTGTGCCTAAATTATTTTAGCAAGGTTGAAAGACTCTTGAAAAACATCAAGAATATATGATGTTTTTATTATATGGCACATGTTATTAATGAAGCTAGAGTTTTGTTATTGCACACATTTTTTTTTTTTTGAGTGAGCATGTCACTGTGAGGAAAACTTGAGACCTATTCACACCAATGATTAGAATGACTTCCAGATGGCTGAAGGTGCAGCCTCGAGGCTGGAATTATGAGGGTTCGCAGTCTTAGGATGTCACGAGAGTGATTTTAAAAATGAGGTACCTTGGCCAGTTTTCTTATTGACACTTACAAATGCTTCACATAGTATACACAGTATAACTTCAATTATCATTCATGTTTTATAGATGAAAACAAAAAGTAACTTCTTATAAAAAGAATTTATGTTTTGCTGGAAGATAAAGAAGAACTTGCTCACTCTTTCTTTGTCTTAAGGAACATTTATTAAATGTTTATGTACATAATATTGGGTTACAAAAATGTAAGACCTTGTCACAAATGCCTTTTGGGGAGCTTGATATATCAAGTGCCAAAATGTTCATGCCAATGAGTTTGACTTCCCAGCATGGAAAAGGAGATAGGTCTTCAGTGTCCAGGATTGAGAGGTCTATCTTCATCATCATCACCACCACCAACCTAGTATAATTTTTATTAAGAACCAAATAAAAGTCAAGTGTTGTGCATGATAACCTCTAATTATATAATTCATTCTAAATTCCACACCACAAGGTAGTTTGAACACAATATTTGTTTTTAAACCCAAGGAAGCATTTTAGTTATAAGGCTTAGCTGTGATAGAAACTATTTGTGGTTACTTAACTCAAAGACACAGGATAAAGTCTGGACACTTATTTCCTGTCACGTGCCCCATATCCTCTCTTTACTCCTTCAGGCAATCTATCTTCTTTACTTGTCACCCATCCACTGCTAACATCCTGGCTGTGCCCCCTTTCCTGTACTTGGTAAGATAAAGCAGGCTACTTTCTAGAATCATGCTTCTGCTTGTGGCCCTGAAGTCTGATGGAATGACTCCTGGAAAAGGTTCATTGCCTGTCCTATGACCTCTTCATCTACATCATATCACAGTGGACTAGGCTCCAGCACCATTCTCAAGGTGCTTGAATGATCTGGGCCTGGCTACATTCAGCTCTGTTCTAACTCAATCCAATCATCAATTTTCTTTGTTTCTCCAATACATCAAAAATAATGTTTATCCTCTAGGACTCGCAATATCAGTCTAATATTGTAGGTGAATACTAGTGGGTAAATGATCCAAGAAGGAGGTACAAATTAATTCTAAAGACAGCAGCACAGACAGGGGGTTGGGTGCTATACGAGAAAAGTGAGAGACATAGCAGAGAATCTGTACCAGTTACTGTTCTGTGGCTGTGACTAGACACAGGAAGCAACTTAAGTGTGTGTGTGTGTGGGGGGGGCTTCTCAGTTAAGAAGGGATACAGTTCAGCAAAGCAAGGAAGGCATGGCAACAGGAGCAGTAGGCAGCTAGTTACACTGCAGCTGCAGTAGGAAGCAGAGAGACAACAGGGAGTGAGGATAGACCCTAAATCTTCAAGGTTTGCCTCCAATGACACACTTCCTCTAGTGATGCTTTACCTCCTAAAGGTGCCACACAGCTTTACAAAAATATTGCCATCTGCTGCTGGGGACCGAGTTTTCAAACACTGTTTTGGAAACATTCTATATCCAACCTATGACAAGATTGTTTATGCCGGCCAGAATCACACCAAACACCACACATGTTTTTGACAATATGTACTTGCATAGGGACATTATTCAAATATAGGAACAAGAAGAATGAAAAGAGAAAGGCTATCTTGGAAAACTCTTAAGGTGGTTCCTTTTAGCTCTTTCTGGTTTCTAAGTTGCATAGCATCAATTACTATATGGCATTGCTAAATATATTATTAATCCATATACAGATTATTGTTAGGTTTCCTGTAGAATAGGAACTGTAGTGATTCAGAGACTCGGTTTGGTTCATGACCTAGTGTCAGTGTGTAGGTCGGATGCTTGGCACATAGTAAGCATTCTGTCCTAGCAATAGTCAGCAAATGGCTACATTTACCCTCCTAATGGCCATAGAAAGGGAGAGGAGAGCAATGTAAGTTGTACCAAATGAAAGACCTAATGAGTGCCAAGCTTAGGGTTTTAACGAAGATTTCTAGTTCAAGTCAAAGTCCATTTGCATTACATCACAGACATCACCTTAATCTGTTTACTTAAGGTTGAAAATACCGTGCATTTCTTTTTAACGGGCATGGATTCCCTCTTACAAAGTGGGCCTTAAGTACCATGGTTGGAGTATAGACCCTAGAAGAGGAACTGCTATTTTCTCAACCCAATATAATTTCTAACTACTTTCTAAATACTTATCCTTACATCCATAGATAGGCATGGCTCTCATCTTTCATTGGGGAGGCTCCTCTTTGCAGCAGGTGGAGGCTACCACAGAGATCTATAGTTAGTCAAAGTTCAGCGAATTAGTGACTATGGTGTATCGAGCTCCATTTGGTATATCTACAGTGAAACCCTTACACCTAAAGCCCAGGGAGTTTCACAGAAGAGGGGGTGAAAATATTCTAAGAGCCAGAGAACAGGACACCTACTGCTAGATGTTGTCTCATAGACATGGCATGGAAGTTGTACCCATGAAATCTCAACACTATGGCCACCTAAACAAAACCTTCATAATGACACACCTGTTGACATGCCAGTGTGAATGGGGAAAATTTCACTAGGCCCTAACCCTAGATGAAGAGTTACAGGCAGCCAAAAATCTGCTGAAAGCAGAAAAATTCACTTTACTCCTGACCAAGTAGTCAACCCTAAACACTTTTTTGTAAGAGCAACACTAAGGGGCTCAAAAGGTTGTATAATGCATATATACTTACATATATACATATGTATATAACAATAATAGTTATAAAAGCGGTCATGAACTTGAAAAGGAATGGGCATGGGTAGACAGAGGGGTAAAGGGAAAGGAGGGAATTATAAATATACTAGACATGTATAAAATTCTCAAAAAACCTAAAAATAATTAAATTAAGATTAAATAAAAAATATTTCAAGCCAGTTAGGTGGCTCAGCAGGTAAAGCCACTTGCCACCAAGTTTGACAATCTGCTTTTATACCCTGGACCCACATGGTGGAAGGAGAGAACCAACTCCTGAAAGCTGACCTCTAACATCATACATACATAGTGCTGTAGTATGCATACACACATGCATACACACACACAATTTAACTGTAATTTTTAAAAATCTCACATATTCAATACAACATTTAGCTGTGTTCAACCTACAGAGAAGTAACAACAGAAATGTGGGATTTCCTCCAAGAACTTAACGATGTTCCTAAAACATTCCATCAAACAATTATCAAAAGATAATTCTTGCAGATGTAGACACACCAGGGATTCTCCTGCTAATGTTACTGGGGAAACTATTAGTCATTGGAGAGGTGGGCAGATAGCCTTTCCAGGCTGACTGGCATTTGATCACTGACATTTTCAAATCCTTGATATTTCGATCTTTCCCCATGTAAATCACAGCTTCCTGGTTTATGGTAATGCAATTAGGAAAAGGTTGATAATAGTCCTAATTAATGCAGATATACAATGTGCTTGAGGAAACAGTACAGAAGAGGTCCTTAATTAAGTTAGAGTGTGCCTCCTGGGTGTGTTGCCCACTGAACATGGACAGTTCAGAGAGCCAGGGAGCTTCAGCTTCAGAGACAGCTTTCTTCAGCACTGCCCTTGTTACAACTTGCATAACTGTGCTGTCCATAGTTTATCTGATGGACCCCACATTTTTCCTAAAGAGATCTAGACTGTCACAACCAACCCAAAAATAACAAACCACTTACTAGTGATTGATAGCCAGGATCCACATCTCAAGAACATGTCTGCAAACTCAGAACAACTTAGGCTTTTTACTTAATAATTCTAGATGATCTGGTTCTATCCAGATGCTCCTTTCTGATTTTGTTTATAAATAGTCTCACGATGTGCATGTGATTTTTCTTTTCTCTTCGTCATTGACAGGTCACTGTTGACATTGAAGATGAGAATGATGAGGCACCAGTCTGCATTCCCTATCTATATAAGGCAGTCATTTCTGATGATGTTGTTGTTGGGACAAATGTCAATGGCCTCAAATTAAACTGTCACGACAGAGATTCACAGGATTTTGAAATGCGCTTTGAAATAGCTTCTGGTGGATATTTTAATTGTTTCTTTTAATCACAAATATATGTCAATTTGACACTAGCTAAACAATATCAGATATGATATGTAACACTAGAAGTGACTGTTTATAAAGGTTACACTATTTCATAGCTGTAGTATTGTGTTTCCTTAAGACACTCCTTCCTGTCTACAGATGTGACTTAATTACTCCTGTGACTTCTGGACTTGGAGAAATGTTATCAGCTTTAGTATAAGGAATTAAGTTTGTTATCCATGGAGCTACCTGAAAACAGAACTCACCTTTCCATCTGATGGTGTTGTTACAAATTCACAAGGCTAGATGATTTTGCCTCTATTGTTGCTGGATCTGTGGAGATTCACAAAAACCTTATAGTCACCAAATTGTCATCTATAGGAGATCTTCCTTTATTTGAGACCAGCCAAGTATCAGGCACTATTCTTAGAAATTGTTGTACAGACCAGCTAAGACAGATGTGGAATGTATTCATGGCACTCTATTAATTTAGCTTGGTACTGTCAGCACATAAAATCATAAACCAAGAGAAAGTCTAGGCAGGGAACGCTGTCTTGACATTCATCCTGGCTCTGACACAATAAGACTTTTTCATGTGTCTCAGACCTGTTGCTGCACATCTGAAAAGATGCCAGTATGGACATATTATTTAATTATGAAGACTAGTTTGATATTTATGCCCATTGCTAGTTTCATCATTTTATACTAGTGTCTTCTAGACCCTGGAGAGGATATAACTTCTTGAGGACATAATTGGTACTGTGATCTGACTGGCTTATTAGATATTAGTCTAGATCAGTGTTTCTCAACCTCCTTAATGCTGTAATGCTTTAATACAGTTCCTCATGTTGTGGTGATCCTAACCATAAAATTATTTTCATTGTTACTTCATAACTGTAATTTTGCTACTGTTACAAATCATAATGTAAATATGTGTGTTTCAATGGCTTTAGGTGACACCTGTGAAAGTGTCATCTGACCCAAAAAGGGTCATGACCCACAAGTTGAGAACCACTGGTGTAGACAAAGTTGAATATGACAATCAAATAAAGGAAGAGGAACAAATAGGCAGAATAATCAGAAAGTAGCATGAGATTTGCCGGCCACATGTGGGGGTTAGAATCATGACCTTAACCTTTCCTTTCTTCCTTGCTTCCTTGCTTCCTTGCTTCCTTCCTTCCTTCCTTCCTTCCTTTTTTTTTTTTTTTTGTGGGGGTGAAGAACAGGGTCTTTTGTAGACCAGGTTAGTCTTGAACTTTCTATGTAGCCAAGGATGACCTTTAACTCTTTTATAGGCATCAACTATACCATTTATTTGATTTTACTTGTAATAATGATTTATTGGAGCGTATGAATAAATTATTTTTTTTAATTTTTTCATTTTTCATACCAACTCCACTTGCCCCTCCCTCCCCTTTTCCCACCCCTACCCTTCTTCTTCTCACCCTCATTCACTCCTCAGAGAGGGCAAGGCCTTCCTTGGGGAGTGAACAAAGTCTGGCATATCCAGTGAGGCAAGACCAAGCCCCTTAGCCTTGAACTCTTGATCCCCCTGCCTCTCCTTTCCAAGTTCTGGTATTGCAGGTTTATATCATGGTTTAATAATGATCAGGATAAACAAATAGGCAGAACAGATGTTTATTCAGGGAGAAATAACTTACAAGTAGACAGATGAACACCAGGGTTCCACCGGATGCTCTCCTCTCAGCATCCTGCCAGCAAGAGAGCGGTCCCAGGCTAGTCCTCAGACCTAATTCTCCAGATCACTTCCACCCATGGCCCCACCCCCAATGGGTGTGGTCAGTGCCACAGAAGCAGACAAAGTAAATATCTCACCACAGGCTTGCCATAACTGCCTAGTGTAAAACACCATTTCCCTATACGTATTGATTATTCTGTTTCAACTTTATTATAAGCTATTTATTATTAATCTATGTACCCATTCTGTGTTTTAATATAATTTAAAGGTAGCTTGAGACCATTTGATGTATTATAAAATAATTTTAACTTTCCCATTATTCCTATTAAAGGAAATGAAAACCTTCATTTCAAAATAGACCCAAGCCGGGGTACAAATACTCCAAAGTTAATAGTGAAGAATCCTTTCAACTTTGAATCTGGAGCTGACCTGCAGCAGCAATACCATCTTGTGGTGCATGTAATTGATGACAACTTGAAGTTGGGCAAAGCCATCAATCCCAAGACAGGAACTGCTGTCATAGACATTTATGTGCGAAGAATAAGCACACCACCTCCTCCAACCAGTTCTGAAGTAACGAGTTACAGAATTTAATTTGGATCTCCATGTTGTAAATATTGTACTGAAAAGTCAAGTATCAGTCAGAAATGCTAAAAGGGTGACCAGGCCATCACTGTCCTTTATATGCCTTTAGACTTTTGCACTAACCCAAACACTGGGCTCTCTTTTAGACACTATTCATCTGTGAATAAAAACTGTGTGCACAGGGATTAGTGAAAATTACATGTTCATATGTAGAGGACCACTAAACTGCCTATTGAGGTCCCCCAAACTACTGGCTGAACAATATGAAGGTCTTGCTCAATAGAAGGGAGTACTATTCATTGGATTCATTAAACACCTCTACAGATGGCCACTTTAAAAGACAATGCTATCGCCAGGTGGTGGTGGCACACACCTTTAATCTCAGCACTTGGGAGGCAGAGGCAGGTGGATTTCTGTGAGTTTGAGGCCAGCCTGGTCTACAAAGTAACACAGGGTAACCTTGTCTCAAAAACAAAAACAAAACAAACAAACAACAATGACAACAACACAAATCTATGCTATCACAATAACGGACATCTGTGATGTGCCAGGCATCACACTGCATGCCTTATAGCCACCATTTTATCTCATTTTCAGTTCAACTCTACAACATTTAGCAGATCTTTTAATATTTTGTCATTTATAAAGCAGAAATGGGAAGCATCTGCTGAATTATATAATGGCTTATCAGCCACTCAAGAATGAAGGTTCCTGCTCAGAAGACTTTAGGGTATATTTTATTATTTTGTGGCCTTTAAAATATAAATTAAAAAGACTTTTTCCTCGAGTATTTGATTTTCAGGAATGCACTATTTCTTCAAGCTATACTAAAGGGAGTAGAGAGCAGGGACATACAGCCAAAAAGGACCTCAGATATCATCTTGAGGAGGGATGTCTTTCTGTATGTATGTTTCCCTTATTGGTTGATGAATAATACACTGTTTGGCCAATAGCCAAACAGGAAGCATAGGCAGGGCTACCAAACCAGGAGAAGGCTCGGAAGAGGAAGGCAAAGAGGAGACACCATGTAGCAGAGAAAGGAGTTAACAGGTCTGGACCCTTCTCTAGTAAGATAAGACCGTGTGAACATATTTAGATTAATAGAAATGGGTTAATAATTAAGACAGAGCTAGTCAGTATGAAGCCCTAGTCCTTGGCTATTAGTTTAATAATTAATATGTCTCTGTGTACTTATTTGGGGCTGAAGGGCCATGGGACCTAGCAAGACAGAAACCCCCATCTTTATCATCTAGCTTAACCTCTGAGGTTTATAGATCAAAGGACTGAGGTGGATCATGGAGTGGCCATTTCGTGCAACTCTACTCTCTATATTCTTAATTTGGTGGCTTTTTTGTGTCATCATCATTCTCATTGTTCCTGGGTACTTACAAATATGTGTGAGTCCAAATCCCACTGGCTACTATGATGGTGGCTCTATACTGATGTTGCACTGTGTAAACAAATGTGCCTTGAAAACAGGGACTAACACTCTGTTTGCTTTGAAATAATTTTCCAGCAAGGGAAAGGTCTGACCATTGTGTACACAGCTATCAACACATACAAAAACAGTGACTGGTATGTTCCTTTCATCTTCACTCTGATGGCTGTTTTCTTTGTTGGATTGGTTTTCTGGATGTGTTTTCTGCTTTGGAGATACGGAAACATTAAAAAGTGCTCTCTGAAAATGGCCAAGGAAGATTCCAAATTGAAACCCAAGTATGTGATTTTTTTCTAAGCTTTTGATATAAAGAATTAAAATTAATTAAAGTTTGGTAATAATAGCTGTCAGTGATTCTGCCTAAGTGTGCTTAAGAGAGACAAAATTCTAGGGATACAAAACTCAGTGATCTCTTTTACCATAGTCCAAACCCACTCTATCCCTGAACTAGTTGGGAGGCTTTCTTTAGTAAATGGCAATGTTCCTAGGAGACACAGTCTCCCAGTAAATTCCCTGATCCCAAGTTCTTTTCACTCCCTCTTCCACAATGAATGTCAAGTGCAGGAGCTGCATTGTAGAAGTATCAGTTGGAAATGGAGTTCACTATTCTGCATTTTGATTGGTTGTGGTTTTCTTAATGGTCTTTTTATGTAGCAGAGAGCTATTTCCTTGATAAATGGTGAGGACTTCACTTATTTATGGGCATAAGGTCAAATATTTAGATTAGTTAGTTATTACACTGGCTTACTAAAGTGTGGGTTCCTGAGATAAACAAAGACATGCTAATGTGGATGGCAGTGATACAGAAGTTCAGGAGGCCTCAGCCCTATGCAAAGAACTACAGCCAACTGAGGAAGGCCAAGAGCAGGAAAAATATTTCCCCCAGAAGAGCACACTGATTGGTTATCCAACACCAAAAATACCAAATGGTTAGCCCTTAAAATACATGCATACAACTATCATTTTGCATACTCAGCAGGCTGTATAACACCACACACACTCACTCACTCACACACACACACACACACACACACACACACAAAACACAATTAACAAAAAAGAGACCATGAATTTGAAACAGAGCAAGGAGGGAAATATGGAATATGGGTTTGAAGGGATGATTGGTTTCAAATCTCATCATCGTCAAAGAAATGGATAGAAAACACATTTGCTTTTGTTGTATTTTATGTATACAGTTCTTCAGGGTAGGAAAAAAAAAAAAAAAAAGAGTTAGAGCCAGGTCTAGGAGCACAGTCCTATAATCCCAGGTCCTTGGAGGACTGAGGCAGGAGGATTTCAGATTCAAATCAGCATGAGTTAGACCATTTATATCAAAAATAAAAAGGAAAGGGAAAATGGGGATGAAAGTTACTGGCTGAGTGTTTAACTGGCACGTACAAGTCTCTGGATCAATCTTAGTAACACACACACACACACACACACACACACACACACACACACACACTGTTATACTTCCATGCAGGGTAACACACACACTTTAGAGTTGTAGTTGTATTTTGGTTAATCACATAGGATGTTTATTTTTTTTAGTAGTGCAGTAATGCAGATGGAAACAGCTAATGAAAACCATATTAATGCTTCTTTCTTAAAAACTAGTTGTTATAATAGTCACATGTTAACTATTGAATAAAATTATTTTCAGCATATATTGTCATAATTTAACTGGTATTTTATCAAATTTTCTTTCTTTTTTTTTAACAGAGGAGTGAAATATGTTGTAGGTAAGATATGATTTGCTGATTATGCTTGAATTATGTGATTTTAAAATTGCATAAATTTATTTTACTACAGCACTTTCTTGACTTTTTGACAATTTCATGAAATGGTATTTTGATCATAGTCACCTTCATTCTTCTTCATAAAATATCTTAGATTCACCTTCCTACCTGACTACTTCTTCTCACAACTTTATGTCCTCCAAGAATGGCTGGCCCACCAGGAACAACAACTCTTAAAAAAGAAAGCAACAACAACACACATGGCTACACTCTGCCAGAAGCCATCAAATGTCACTGGCTTTTCAGTTAGAGGTGGGGGCTTGTGAGTTCCCTCCTTATTCCATGCTTGAATACTGAGCTTGTTCTAGTGCAGGTCTTGTGCAGGCAACCACAGGTACTGTGAGTCCCATCATGCCCAGAAGACACTGTTTTGCTCAGGTCCTCCATAACCTCTAGCTCTTATAATCTCTTGTCTGTCCTTCCATGATGGCCCCTGAACCTTGGGATGAGTGTGTGATAGAGATGTTCCATTTGTGGCAGAGCACTCCAATGGCACTGATTTCCTCAACTTTGACTGGTTGTATTTTTCTATGTTATTCACTGAAGTAATCTATTGATATAGAGAAATGAATTTAGACCAATTTGGCAGAACAACAGTAGTAGGTTCTCTTCAGGGACGTGTACACTCCCAACCATTTGTTCTTGGCTAGATTTGCAGTGCCAGGCAATCTTTTCATTTTGTGGAGTCAGCCTAGGATTCATCAGAAACCAATTGTGTATCCCATAGTGTTTGTATGGCTATTGCACTCAGGGATGTACCTTGCCAAGCTGGTGGCTGTCGTAGCTCACAGAGAGTGCTGTGACTCACAGCACTCACAGATGGGAGTGCTAGTGACAGCTTCTTATCCCCAGGAGCTCACAGAACACTTTGGGCTACTGTGGAAGCTAGATAGCAGGGAGGAAGCTTCCTACTCAATAACAACCTGTGTCCTATGATCAATGTGTGTGGTATCTTTAGCAATGAGTATAACCATCAAGTTTCAGTAGGCAACCAATGGTAATGAGCTCATATTTTGGGAGAGAGCTCCAGGATACCCCAACTAACAACTTGAAGAGAAGTATTCCACATTTGTTGTTGGGCTTTTTCTTTTTTTTTTTTTTTTTTCTGTTTTCTTTTTGGTTTTCAAGACAGGGCTTCTCAGAGTGGTAGGATTAAAAGTTTGTACAACCACCTGGTGGTTCTTGGCTTTTTATTTGGT